TACAGTTTATTCAGTTTCAATTTCAATTCATCCAATTCTCATTTCTCACTACATTTTATTGAAATTTCATCCAATTCTTGTTTCTCACTATATTTATACTTTTACTAGAATATTTGGATTTCATCACAAACAATTAAACAAATGGATCCATGTTCATTTGTTGAGGGCTTGTTTGATATGAGATATGGCGAATCGCCTAGGACGCCGCAAAGTCAATTTCGAAATGAATTTGTTGGTCTAAATGACGTACTCATACCTGAAGATGTTGGCATTCATGATCATGGAAACAACAATCCAATTGATTTGGATAATATTGACATTCCAAAACTGAACATGATGACGAAGGGTCTGAATTAAATATTTCAGATGTGAGGGGAAAGCGAAAGGAGAAAAACAAGCAAAATGTTGGAATCACTTTAAATTGATGTCAACGGAAAAAGTCGTCAATGGCCTCGCAAAATCTAAAGCAGTATGTAAATATTACCAATAGAGATTGACATGGCAAAAAAGAATTGGTACCACCCATCTCAACCGCCACTACAAAATATGTGCGGCCAGACATGGACTTCTTCCAGCCGACCAAACACAATTGAATTTGACAGTCCAAGCGCTGGTTCTACGACTTCACCCCTATCGACGTGGGTGTATTTGGAGGAGAAAGCTCAAATCGGAATGGTGAAATTTGTTGCCACCGCTAAGTTGCCCCTGGCTATTGCCGACAATCAACACTTCGTCTCGTATGTGAAAGAATATCTGCAGCCAAGGTACGTTGGGGTGAATCGAAACATTCTTCGTATCGATACAATACAATAATTCAATGATTTAAAACAACAATTAATTATGGATTTGTAACAATATGGGAGTGTTATATCTTTAATTTTGGATATATGGGAAGGGGTTAATAAAAGAGCCTATATAGCTACAACCGCACACTATATAAACCCACTTTGGTGCATGCATAAAAAAAACTATTGCTTTTAGAATTATTGAGTTTCCTCACAATGCTAATAATATAAATAATGCTATTATCATTATTGAGTTTCCTCACAATGCTAAAATTCGGTCTTTTACTTTCGATAATGCTCGTGTTAATAAGGTGGTTGTCGATAAAATGTGTAGGGTACTACAACTTGATTTCGGTGGATACTTGTTTCATATTCATTGTGTGTGCCATATTTCGAATTTAATTGTGCAAGATGACTTAAAATAGATAAATGATGAATTTCGAAGGATTAGGAATGCACTAGTATATAGTATGATCACTTTCAGCAGAAAACAAGCATTTGAAGATTATTATACCGAAATAGGGGTGACGACTGCTAAAACATTTGTTAGTAACGTAGGCCATATATGAAACTCTACTTACTGGCTATTAAAGTCGTGTGAAGGTTTCGAACATTTAATAACTGACTTTTATAACAATTGACACGTTAGAAGCGATAACGGTCCTATGTTGAATGAATCCGATTGGCTTTTAACTTTGAAAGTTAAAAAATTTTTGACTTCTTTTTATGAGACCACAAAGATTTTATTGGGCGTTTATTATCTCACAAGTTGTATGGTGCTTGAACGCCTTTATATAATTACAAGAACATTTCATAAATATAAAAGTGACCCTGATTTTAGTGAAATTATAATTGTTATGGAATTAAATCTTAGAAAATAGTGGGACAACTTGCCCATGTTATTTCTTTTAGCATGCGTAATGGACCCCTGATATAATTTATCAGGAACTAAATACGTAATTGATCAAATCAATAAACCTTAACGTTTAATACACCTATCACCTATAGGAAAGAGAAAATATTATGTGAAATGTATGAATTATATGCAGACCGAATGGGTGCGAATGTCAGTCGAATACCCTTTGCGCCTACTCCTTCTACTGAAATTGAAGAAGATGACGCTGAAATAATGAATTTATTTCAAGGTATTAATGCATATAGATATGATGCAATTGCAGTGCGTTCATTTAGTGCCATGTTGTCTACATCTGCATCTCATCAAACATCGATCGTAACTCAAAATGCGATGCTTGCCAAATTAATTGATTACTTCAATCAGAATATACCTACAAACAAAACAATTAAAAAAAGTTTAGAAGAAGTAATTAAATTCTGGCAAAAGTATGAAAGACGTTGGCGAGTTGTTTCTGCAATTGCAAAAGATCTGTTGATACCTCCAGTTAGCACTGTTGTTTCGGAGCCTGCTTTTAGTGCAGGTAAAAAAGTTTTGACCGATGTTAGGAGCCGACTGAAAGAAGATGTTTTGAAAGTATTAATGTGTGTAAAAGATTGGTAGGACGCTCATTTTCGACTACAAGATAAATATGCCGAAATTACATATCGTCAAATAAGTGATATTTGATTTAATTATATTAATCAAAATTTCTTATTTTTTTAATCATTACATTTAATTTTCTTTAAAAAATTGTACACATTACAGTAAACTGTTCGTGTACAATCTTTAACTCCGTCTACTTAAAATTGATGTAGTCGGTCTCAAACCCAAATAAAGAAGGATGATTTAAATTTTATCTATTTTAAAAAGAAAATGAAAAAAATGTATTTTTTGTATATGTATTAAAAAAAATCGTCTTCATTACATAAATATTTAACACTTTATCGAAAATATTAATATATAATAGAAATAAAAAAAAATGTCTTCATTAAATTATTTTTTTTAAAAAATGCATTTGTGTTCATTTGTCTTTCTCTGTTATAAAAATTTAAAAAAAAAAAAAAAAGAGCTCGCGAGCCATGCTCGACGCTGATCAACGAGCCGATCTCGTGTGTATAGCTAGCTCGGCCCATTGCCATCCCTATAAAGATGTAATAAAAACCAACACTTGCCAATCTTTCTACCAAAACTATTTCTTACTTATTTACTTCAGAGCAAACTAATCAAAATTAGTTTCCTAATGCCAACAAATTTTAACTATCTCTTTTATAATCTCGGTTCGCCACGAGCCCGAGTTGAGCTCGTCTGTATAGCCGATTCGACCCATTGCCATCCCTACAAAGATTTAATAAAAGCCAACACCTGCCTATCTTTCTACCCAAACTATTTCTTACTTATTTACTTCGTAGCAGACTAATCAAAATTACTTTCCTAATGCCAACAAATTTTTACTATCTCTTTTATAATTCTATTCTATATTTCTATATTATCTGTTTCAAGTTGCTATATAGACACCAGTACATACGTTAATTTAACTTTTCATAGATCTAATGGGCAATTTGGCCATGGTATCATAAAATTTTGCAAAGATTTTTCAGAAGCACTTACGTTACATACAACCTCAAAAACTTGACAAAAGCAATCTTGATATTACTTTATAGGATTATCATTTTCGTTTTCTATTTTTCTTGGATGGCTTTTTCATTTTTGCCCCATTCTTAACTATAAAATCTACAAGAGAAGTAGGGACCCCGTCTCCACCACAAGAGAAGAGCCCCAGGGATGTATATATGATTTTTTGCAATGATGTTGGTCGCCTATGGGAGGCGAGTTGACTGGTATGTGAATGCCGACATGGGTATGGGCGGACTGGGTGGAAAGGTCAAGTAAATTTGCCTCGTTCTCACCATGGACGAACATGCAACTGGTGCCATTCTCGTAGTACCTTTTGACAAAGTAAAGTCCAAACCCTCCACCTAGATCATCAAGACCCACGCAGATATGGCCAAGAATAATGCTGAATAAACAGGGCAAAAGAATAGAAAAAACAAATTGATGTGACAGCCCATAATTAAGTACTTTTATCATACCTTTTTACCATTCTCCAACTAAAAACCACCAAGTGTAATCTAAAAAATATTTTTCTGTTATTGACTCTGGCCTATAGCATGATTGTATTGCTAAATGCGAAAAGAATGAAGAGACAAATGAGTAATTGGGAATTTGTCTAAATGCGATGTGGGGTGCGGTTGGTTGGGGATATTTGTATTTTGTTTTTTTTATCTTTGATTTTAATTATTTTATATAGAATGATATAAAACTATCATTTTATCCTTTAAGATTGGAGAAGAAAATAAAACTTTAAAAGTTTGAAATTATGGGTGGCATATATATAAAGTTTGAGGCCTCGTTTGTTTTTCATTAATGTAAAAATGAGAATGAAAAATATAGTCGTTATGAGCTCTACACAAGAGATAAAAATTCAATTATAATAGCTTGATGTGATGAATAACGATCATATTTTTCAGTTTAACGGCCAAATAATGGGAAGGGAAGCAAACATTGGCTGAGGATAATATGTAAAAATAAAAAATAAAAAGTTTAGGATCACAATTGCAATTATTCCTTTTCAAGTTTGATAATTTTTACTATTTTTAATGCTAGACTAATAGAATTGAACGATGAGGGTGAATCACACTTCAAAATTCATACATAGGGTTTCCACACCTCGAAAGTTATATTCCGCACTCAAGGTTTTAAATAGAGACGTTTTTTGCGATTTCCAATTAGTTGGCGTATATCGCACATTGTCAAATATGTAATGAGACTTTCTGCTATTAAGCCTAATTAAACCATTGTTTGGTCAGAATTAACAATCAAACTTTTAGCAAATTTTGATAAAAGTTGATAAAATGTATTGTTGAAAAGTTATCGAACCTGTTAAGGGCCTGTTTGGGCTCGGTTTTTTCATCAAAAAATTGATTTTTTGACCGTTATTTCACTATTCCAACCGTCATATTTGACTTCTTCTCTCACAGATGGACCCCACTTTTCTCGTAACGGTCAAAAAATCAATTCTCAAAATCACTTCCAAACAGGCTCTAAATATATGGTTAAAATTAATTATTGACTTTAATTTTAAAATCTGAATTTAAATCATTACCAGGGCTAAATATTTCACTGAACAAAATATATAAAAAATCAAAAAATAAAATGAGATAAAATAAAATAGATTCTAAATTAAATTGAGCGGCTGGCCTAAACATGCATACAATACGTATACGTATATATTCAACTCATTTTTTATTTCTTTCTTTTTTTCAAATGATATTCAAATTTCAGAGTCTGGGGCTTTAGGGATCTTTTTCTTCTTCGTGTTACAAGTCTTGGAAAATAACTCAAGAAAAAAGAAAATGCAGCCACAACCAACCCAGTCTATGAATTCTTCCACTTCAACGCCTTTCAATCTCATCACCACTGAACAGATTCAGAAGGTGCACCTTTTCATACATGTTTTAATGTATATGTTTGTCAACGCGAATGTGCATTCTGTTTATACGCGTATGTACTTGTCGGCAAATGATAAAAAATGGTGTGAGCAAAAACGCAACATTTTTCTTCTCTGTTTATCTTTCCCTTTTTCTTTTTTTTGGGGGTGGGGGAGGGGTTGGGGCGGGGCTAGGGTGGTTGTTTATATATGTGTGTGTGTTTTTATTTTATAATGGACCAGGCTACATTCACCTTATGATTTACACAATCTTTTGCACACACAACACGTGACGGCTCCTTATTGGAGGGGTGGCTGGTGCGGCTCCTTATTGGAGGGGCGGCTGGCCCACCAGCCACCCCTCCAATCGGGGCCGCCATGTGTTGTGTGTGTAAAAGATTGTGTAAATCTTTGTGTACAAATAGTTTAATCCTTTTATAATTATTAAGTAGTAAAATGTATTGATTTCTTCAAATTTGGCTGCATTCCTGAAATCCTGAGGCACTGGTGAAAAATATTCGATGCAGTACTTGGAAGAGAATAAAAACTTGATTATGGCAATACTGGAAAATCAGAACCTGGGGAAAATGGTTGAATGTGCCCAGTAAGTTTTCATTGATTTCTCTTTAGAATGATTCTAATTGCACTATGGTATATGAGCAGTTATCTTTTCATTTGCAAGTATATTGGTATTGACTGTATAGAGTTCTGTTTTCTTGATAAGTTTTGGAGTAGCAAAAAAGTGGAAACCTTCAGAAGGTTTTTCGGAAATATTTATCTGTAATGGAAAATTAGTATGTAGACATAAATTGGTCAGTTGCTTTTGGAAAATACTTCCTATATTTCAATGAGAAAACAGGTTTATGCGATATATCGTCCACTTCTCTGGTTGATTTGTGAGATGGAGCCGCAATAATGTTCACTTCATTGGAAAGCATATGGTTCCCATAATATCTTTATTCAGGGGTCTTTGTTTGCCACACTGCTTCTGTTATAGAATAAAATATTTGAAAATGAAGTTAGAGTTCATGTGTTTTGCAAATTAAAATGAGTTCAAATACTAATTGCAATGAGGGTCCTGTTCATGAGCTATGTAAAGAGGGTTTCTGATGCACAGAAAATTTCAAGCAATTGTATCTTATTTAATTTATTAGTTATTTACCATTAGCATGTATTGGTACCTGCCAGTTTGGCATGATTATTGATTTTTTTTATTTTCTTTTTCCATATGTGTTTGGTGAGTCTGCATATTTAAATTTCTTAATCACAAGAAAGTGAATAGCATCATGTCATTGAATCTTGAAATTATTAGTTGGTTTTACGGGTTTTAGTCTCAAAATGGGGGTTCTGGGGAACTTGTATAGGCCTGTCAACACTGTATTTTGATAAGTGAAAGTGTCCATGCATACAGAGCTGCAATTATGGTTTTGACATTAGTCCGAAAATTTATGAGCTGAAGGATTTCTTGCTTTTTGTGTGTGGTTGGGGGGGCGGGGGTTGTGCATTGCTGGAATCTATAGGGACTGCTCTTATTTTGGTCTTTGTAAGGCTTTGTTGCCATGAATCTTCACCATCTTTATTGTACTGCCACCATCGTTCGTCATCAGTTATTATTATGACGTGTTCATCATGTGAATGTGGAGTTCTGCATATTAGCCAAGGAAATTCTATATGAGGAAATCGTACGTCATCCTTGTCACAAGTTAAATGATTTAGGTACCAAGCTATCCTTCAGAAGAATTTGATGTATTTAGCAGCAGTTGCTGATGCCCAGCCACCACCAGGATCAACATCGTCGCAGGCATGTCTAATAGCTGTCCTATATGTATTATGGATATGTAGTTTCCTCCTAACACTAACAGAGTAATTGCAGGTTCCCTCTAGTTCTGTTGCTTCACAAGGAAACTATTTGCCGCAGACTAAAGCTTCAGCTGTTAAACAGCCAATGGCAAAGTTGCCATTCCAGGTTAATGCACTCCAACCTCAAGACCAGCAAAATCAAGTACTCCATTTCCAAAAACAGCAACAGATGCAAGGGCACTTTGGCCTTGGAGGTGGTGTCAATAACAGCATGCATTTTCTTATGCAACCTGGAGTTGGCATTTCAGGCAGTTTGATGGATTTGAGAGGACCCCAACCTGGTGGATTGGAAGCTATTTCTGGTGATGGCCAAGGGAACTCGGGTTTAGGACGTACTGAGGGTAGAGATTGATTTCCTAATGGTTATACAAACTTATAGGTGGGATAAGAAGAAACTTTTTTGGGTGATGTTTTAGAAACATTTTTGGGTGATGTCTCACCTGTTTCTTGTGATTCTTGTATGAAACAATCTATAATAATATTTTCGTTAACTTTGCAGCAAGCCTTGTATTAGCATTTGTTTTGAAAAAGTTTCAGTATAATCCTAGGCCAAGCAGACAATGAAGAATGGCGTATGCACTTGGACAACTGATAGGTCCCAGTCAAATCTATTAAAATTGCTATACAGACGAGCTTATCTAGCAATTCTTGAGTATTTTCTCAAGTGGCATCATCAACAGGTAGTTACTTCAACCTGACAAGATTTTCTTCAACAAAGCGTGTATCCAAGATGGTTTTGGGAGTTTCATGATAATTCCTCCATCATCATCAATAATTGTAATTCAACATTAGTGGCATTGGATTCTCGAAGTTTTTTTTTAAGCAGTGAAACATGGAAGACAGGATGAATTCAGGATCCTTTTGGAAGAAAATCAAATCAGTTAAGGACCATTAAATCGGCTGGCCAATTTCTGAGGTGCTCTCCTGAAGACCGTTTGTTGCCGATAAAGGTGGAGTTTAATGAAAAACAGGTCTCCCACTTGATTCAATCCCTCGTCATTTTGAGTCAGCCACCTGCTTCATCTGATTGTTGGCTGCATGTAAATTTGCCTTGAGCTGGTGTAATAATTCATCCCATAAGCGAGGCGAGATTTTGGTCGACTTTGTTCGTTGGAGATGTGCCCATCTGATCTGATAGTGTGGAATGGTTGGTGATATAAAGCTTGAATGGGTGTCATTCCTGTTGATGATGCCATGGTAGAAAAGAGCTCTATTTTCGTGGTTGATGATGGACAAAGCATCCGACACATTTGTGGACTACTTTTGGACCAGTGTTATAAAAGGTTTAATACGTGACAATGCGTGAAGATCAAGCAATGGGCTAAGCAAGCTTAAGTGAGACACAGGCGTAAAACAACGATTTCTCAGTTTAATAATATTTTTATTTTTAATCAATCAAACAAATATTTAATAAATAAAATAATACCTATGAAACATCTAAAATAGATTTATAGGAATTTTATACATTTTTTCAAAGTTTTCAACGAAAGGATAAGTTTCAAATATCAATACTAAAAGAATAAGTTTCAAATAGTAAATCGATAGGAATTCTTGAAAGCTTTCCTTTGTTAAAGGCCTCGAGTGGCTATTTTGAATTTAAAACATATGAAGGAAAGAAATTGGCCTTTAAATTTTAATTTAAAAGAAATGTAAAAAAATTTAGTAAAAAAAAGAAAAGAAAAAGATAATAATGCACGCTTAGGCACGCATAATCACGCCTAGGTGTGCATTAATGATCAACGACTATCATTAACCGCAAAATAAGGCTCCAAGTTACTTGGCTTTGGGTTTCCACCGCGCATCAAGGCGCGCATTCTAGAACACTGCTTTAGACCATCTATCCATTTGTGTGCCTGAAAAGTTGAAGGAACTTGCGCCAAAAATGGCTAAGAAACACCGGAGCCCGATCACTAACGATGAACTTGGGCATTCACTATCACAAAAATGGTGTTTTTTTTTTCCAGCCACCAATTCTATCCTCTGAAGCATCAGATTCAACTGAAATAATGGCTTGTTTGAGAACTTGGAATGCAGTTTTAGCCTCTTTTGTCCATCCGAATTGTCCAATTTTTAACAGATTGGTAAGGGGTCGAGCCAATATGCCGAAAAAACTTCCTGTAGTAATCTCCAAGGCCTAAGAATCAACGCAATTCAGAAATATTAGTAAGGGTAGGCCAATTTAGCATTGCTTTAGTTTTACCTTGACCTAATTTTACTCCTTGAGGAGTGCATTCCAGCTACTGCTCGACAAATGCACATTTGCTAATTTTAATAAAAAAAATGACATTGCCTTAATATTTCAAAAGTTTGTTTTACATGTTCAAGATGCAAGGTCCATTTGGGGCTATAAATCAAAATGTCATTAAAAAAAAAAAAAAATGGACTAGCAGATTTGCCATGATAAGGTGAGAATATGGATATCAAAATGACTTCAAGATTAGATGGCAGAGCCGGCTCCGAAATTTATGAGGCCATAGCCAACAAATTGTTACGAGACCCTTAAATATAATTTTTTTAGTAAGCATAGAAGTCTCTTTAATACCAATTATGATAAATTCAAATTCAATTTCAATTTCTCTATAGCTTTTAAAAATTGAAATGAGAACTTTTAATATATATATATATTAATTTATAAATTTTATAAGGTTAGGAAAACATTATAGGGAAAATTTCTTTAATTTTTTTTTATGCATTGAAATTATTATTATTATTATTATTATTTTTTGGGTAGATCTTGCCATCTTGGTAGATAGAAAAATACAACAAAATATATCACTAGACAATAGTTTAATTAAAGATCCATTCTATTTCTTAAACAAGAATATAAGTTAATGACACAAGTAATTTGGGCCTCTTATTTAAACCAATTTTGTTGTATTTTAAAGGAGTAGAGACCCAACCCAAAAAACAAGGAAATATTTTGTTGGATCTTGAAGTTTTAATTTTTCTTTTGAGGCCCCTTCAAGTTGGAGGCCCTAGGCAATGGCCTTGGTTGCCTTGAGCCAGGGCCGGCCCTGATAGATGGGACACTACAAAAACCAAAAGGCATGACTAAATATTCGTAATAACATTATGAGTATGAAAAGCAATTTTAAGAATATCTAGAGGTGATCACTGCTAGATATAGTTTAGTAAAGTAAGACGCCCCATGAAGTTCATATAGCATACCATCAGCTATTAGAATTACTGCATTAAGGGCTCTATAGTCGGTACAAAAGCAGGGCCGATCCTGTGCTGTCAGGGCCCTGAGGCGAACTTTATAAATTAGGCTCCCCTCCTCAGAAAAAAAATTGTATTATGCATTTCCTTTTTCATTTTTTGAGTTCTAGACTCATATTTAGGAGGCACCATGGTATATGACTACGTGCGTCTATACAATTGATCATTCGATTAAATCTAACAAAAGTCAATATAACCCGACAAAGGTGCAATACTACAATGCAATCATATAAGCCGACAAGGCTTCAAACATTTCCTATATGTTTAATAGTTTATAAAAAAGCAAGCAAAAGCCATTGCTCACCTGAGAAATAGGACTTGAGCAAAAATTATGTAATGACACGTAGGACCTATAGTAGAAGAAAAAGTTTATAGTCAATACATCTCTCTCTCTCTCTCTAAATACACTAGACAAAAAAATGTAATGATCACAGGTTCAGAACATATTCATGTATATAAATGTCTAAAGATCACAGTCAAGTGCAGGCTAATTAGATTGTAATACTCTATTCGGAATTTCACAACACAACATAAAATGCACATTTAGTTATTCACTTATCATATAGTGAGAACTGACCTCAACAAATACTGCGACTATTTTGGGGAGATATTGATTGTTGGGAAGCAGAAGTTCCCTATCGGACCTACAAGAGGAAAACAGATCAATATACATAAATGAAGGTCTTTAGCAACAAGTTTGGTTTCCAACAATGCCAAATTAGAGCCATCTCCATTGTCTACCTCTCGACCATTGTGCAAAGCTGCTCATGAACAACTTTTACTTCAATAAGATCACCTTTCATAGGTAAGCAGCTCAACTAGGCAGGAACTACCTGCTAGTAACATTCGGCGATAAGAATTTGACAAAATGCATGAAGTAACAGGAAATTGAGTAATGAAATCACATCATTTCTACTTATCATCATTTCTAATGGAAGATGATAATAACATCATTTCTACTTATCATCATCATCATCATCATCTTTAATACTTGCAAATGTAACTCCATTAATCATTCCTAGATATCCTAAGTGCTTCAGAGAATTCATGCACTGAACATTCTTATGAAAGCAATCCCAATTTACAATTACATAAGTGATCTCCTATTAAGAGCACTATTACACCACACTTAGTTTGTTTATGTAAGCTATATGGATAATTAAAACTTTAGCTAATCACAAACAATTGTTAGATAGCACATTTCTTATCATAAAATGGATATGAGTTATATTTCAAGCGCTCATTGATTTTTTATAACTTGGTTATCCCATTGAACTAACATCTTGGGATTTTCAATCAACAATGTTGGGTTATCATTATTAAAATTCTTACATAGTAGGCTTTAAAAT